ACTTATCGCCCCAACAGAACCACTGACACGCAATAGCGCCATACACGTGGGAGGGGTTCATTGTTAAATTTGACATTTCAAGGAATGGTTGATGAAAACTGCCGCGTGCTGGTTTATCCTATCTTCGTTTTCTTTCATATCGGTTCTTGTATAAGATTTACTGTTTAGCGTATCTTTGCTTTCGTGTGTTACGTTTAATTTGCAATGAGACGTCTTCAACATGATGAACGTCTATGTGCTATTGGCATGCATCAAATGGGTTCTACACAGCTTGCAGAAGCCCGCATGCTTAATGTGTCACAGTCTGTGATCAGCAGACTGTGGAACCGGTACCAATAAACACACAATGCTGATGATAGACCTCGTTCAGGTCGATATACAAGCAACAGGATTGATACATTCGTACACAGATCATGCGAAATCGGGGACAAACGGCCAATCAGCTTTCTGTAAACTTGTACCAAGTTACAGGAATTCGAGTTACACCCCAAACGATTAGAAATCGGCTACATGCAGCCCATTTGCATGCGCGACAACCGCGTGTTGTGCCTCCATTAACTCGCCAGAACATGGCAAACAGGCGTCAATGGTGAAGGCAGCGTAGAAATTGGGGTTATCGTCAATGGGCACGTGAAATGTTCTCAGATGAGTCCACATTTACTCTGGACTTTACCGATAGGCGTGCTCGCGTTTGGAGGCGTGTAAATGAGCGTCATGCAAAGGTTAACGTCAGACAGCATGGCAGATTCGGGCGTGGGTCTGTTATGGTGTGGGGAGGAATCACTATGACTGGCAGAGCGGACTTGCATATTGTTCTAGGAAGGGTCACTGGTGTGTACTACCGTGACCACATCCCGGCACCGACAGTTCTGCCCTTTGCTCAATGTGCAGGTCGACGTTTCATCTTTCAAGATGATATTGCCCGTGCCCACCACGCTCCTGTTGTGAATGACTACCTCCAACGTCCCCATATTTTCCATATGCCCTATGGAACATGCCTGGGACATGATCGGGAGACGTCTTCGTCGACGTCAACCGACAACACTGTAAGAATTGGCCGTGGCACTGCCAGGAGCATGCCACGACGAATTGGTGAATGTCTGAAAATTGGTGGGCAAATTTAGAAAAAAATCAAGAACGTCCATTTTCACTTTTGACAGCGTATCTCTTTGCGAGTGAAATGGGGCCGCAAGATAAGCCGCCCATACGAACTGTTTATGTTCATGTGTAGGCAATTGGCCTGTTATTAACATACACTGGTTACCTCTAATGAAAACAGCAGTGCAGTTCCGAAATTTTGTATTTATTCCGAATATCCCCTACTTTTGTTGAAGAGTATATTTGTATTATCTTGTACAGTGTAGGTAAATGTTGGAAGAAAGTAAGATAAATGGGATATACTTAATGTCGGGTATTTTTTTTTACGCCCACATTTTCATGTGAACATATTATGCCGTCGCCCCTGTTTGTCCATCCGTCCGTCCACAACTTGTTTGTGGACACTCTTACAGGTGATAATCTTAAACGTGAAATATAAGTCTCTCCCCAACCAGCTCAGTTCCTTTCGATGTATCGGAGCATAGCTTCATGATTTATGGACCCTGATTGTTCGAAAGATCACGTTTTTAGCTTGTGGATACTCTAGAGGTCACAACTTTCATTTCATTTTCTTGAAACGTGAAATGCATGTTTAAAACACAAAAACCGAGGATGCTTTCGATATTTGGGCATATCGAATAATAACTTCCTGAATTATGGCCCCTGATTGTTCGAAAAATCGTAAAAAGTGGACCAAGGTTGTGTTCCCTCTAGAGGTCACAATTTTGATCCTATTGAAACTTAAAATACATGTTTACAACCCACAGGCTTTGGTTCCTTCCTATATTTGGGGGTCAAGGTGGCTAGGTGGGTAAAGGGCTGGCTCCCTAGTCTGGAGGTCGGGTGTTCGATCCCTGTATTGGCCGAGAAAATTCATCCAGATTTCCCGGTGCTGTCCCCCCTTGTCAATGATGCGGGACTGAGGGCCTGACAAGGACAGCTATCTAGTCATTCGGATGAGACAAAAAAACGAGATCCCGTGTACACATTGACGTCCACGTAAAAGAGCCTATGACAGTTGGAATTCGAGATCAGAGTAGGCCGTAGTGCTGCTGTCCGGGCAAAATTTACCTCATAGAACACTGTATAGCCACAGATCACTAATGATTTCCCCATTGACTTATGTTAATTCTCGTGTCTTAGACTGGCTCTAACATTTTTCAAAATTTTCGTTGAGTAGAACGCTGTCTACCACATGTGGAGCAATGGGTGGCAACCTCTTGCCCAAAAGCACGTACGAGTTTCCTCATGAAAAACGTGAGATACACATTGCAAGCTGGAAGCAGAGACAAGTAAACATGCAATTTTCGACCCTACATTTCAACCTAACCATCTTCTCAACTCTTGTATCCTTCCGCCTCAAAATCATGAATATTCACCAAAACCTGGCAGAAAATGTATTTTCAAACCCTTTCCATCCATTCTACACCACAAAATCAACAAAAATCGCCATGCAAAAGGAGGAAAAGGAAAAGGGAGAGAAAGACTAAAAATAGCTTTGGCCCTTGTTTCGTGACGGCGTAGGAATTTTCGGTGAGCTGTGTCCGTATGGCGTATGCCCGTCTACATTAGCCCAGTTCGGGGCAAAACCGTAGGATGTTAAACCCAATTTCATTACATTTCATTTCTTTCGATATTTGCTCTTATCGGATCGTAACTTCCTGAATTATGGCCTTTGATTGTAAAAAATTTAGAGGTCACAATTTGTATCCGACTTAAAGTGTGAATATATCACCGTTACACACTAAGTTCTTGGTTCCTTTTGATAATCGCGCATATCCGAACGTAACTTCCTGGATTATGACCCCTGATTGTTCGAAAAATCGCATTTTTAGCTTGCGGATTCTTTAGAGGTCACATTTTTTTTCCAATTTTATAAACCGTTTAAATATATCACATGTGACCTTTCCGCCATTATGAAAGTTGAATTCGACTTTCGGGAAACTTGAAATGAAACTGCCCAACAAAATGGCCGCTCTTTGTGTAAAAGTATGTAATACGAAGGTTGTCGGCCCTCTAGATGTCCCAATTTTTATCCGATTTTGATGAAACTTGAAATGTATGTTCATAACCCATAGATCTCGGTTCCTTTCGATATTCGCGCATATCGGACTATATCTTCCTGGATTATGGCCCCTGATTATAAAAAACACATTATTTTTTTTAGCCCCTTCTCTGTCCATCTCTTGCAAAATGTGCGCGTATCTTGCATGGCAACCACTTGTTATATGTCGCTCATGCTATCGTAAAGAGTTGCTTGGCGACAGTAACGTAAATACCGTTTTTTGAACTTTCATCTCATTGGGTAGTGTTGTTTCAAGAAAATAAACACTGATTAACATAATATGTTCTTTAATGGGCCTGTCTTCGATACAAAATAATCAAACTGCATAGATTCAACTTTCTATACAAAATATAATGATATAAACAGCTGTGACACGTAAATGCTCACTTTTTGTGAGAATGAGCAGAGAATGATCGCGATGCGTCATACCAACTATGAGCAGATCAGTCAAAATCTTCAGCGTGTATATCGTTCACAGGCAAATTGTTGACGGACCAACGGACAGAGAGGCAACAGAACACGCCCACGCCGTATACAAATTACAGTCACGTTCATAAGGTCTTTCACAAAGGAGAGATAACTTTCGTTTATCCTCTCCTGACCCCGCTAATTCAACCCAATTTTAAAAAGAAACATCTGTTAAAAGCTGTAGCGTTCACAGCCAATTGTTGATGGGCAAAAAGTGGGTCAGTGAAATGAAATGAAATGAAATGGGGTTTAACGTGTGGGCATGTGCAAATAAGTATTATTTCAGTCTGATTAAAATACAGATCCAATTTCGTTTTTTTTTTTTTTATAGTTCATAATTTCGTTTTACTTGTCAGCACTAGAATTTGAAAAAGTTATTAAATAACCTACGTTCTGGTTGATGCGAGGGATTAGCCAATCAAATGATATGTTGAGTCAAATTTTTGTCATCTAGCAAGAGGAATTGTGAGTAGACACTCGTAACAATAGAAACAAATCAAGTTAAAAGTAGCAAGAGGAATTGTGAGTCGACACTCGTCACGATAGAAACAAATCAAGTTAAAAGTAGTATCACCAAATACCCAATTAAAACACATACATTAGCTGATTGGTTAGTCGAACAACTAACGTCACAGGGTCAAAAGACGCTCGTAGGACCCCTGACACGATCTCCCATTACAGCCGGTCAGATCATATAGTGGAGGTCATCGAAAGTATAAAAAAAAACGAAACGAAATATAGATTTGTATTTTAATCAGTTGGTATTTTTTAATAATAGGTAATGGAGGTTGTATATGAACAGTTGAAAGTGATCAACGGACATCACGAACTATAGGTTTGTCAGTTAATAAAATCCGTTAAAAACAGTGATGATTTGAGTTTACTATCGCAGGTATCGACGGAAATATGCAAATGCATTGTTAAATTAAATGTTCCTCGTGGAGTCACAACAGTACATAAACTATGTACTTTGTGTACCTACAAAATTGTCTATGTGTGTGTGCAATTGATAAAGTGTACGGGCAATAACACCATCCCTTACGAGCATCAAGGAACTGATAATAGAACAATAATTAAATTGTATGATCTGTTGCATTAAATGTAATCTCCAGTAATGGTATATATAATCTATACTGGAAATGGTCTCATTACAAGCCGAACCGACCTATCAGGTGGCAAAAATCCAGTCTCCCTTGCACACCGCCACCCCCATGCTGTGGGCAAATGAAATCACGGGGTTAGATTAAGGGATTTGATCATCAATTTATATAAAACAGGTTATGTAGTGGGGGTAGAGAGACATTTAACACCAACCATTCGTTGTCCAACAAGGTTAGTTAATTATTCTCTAAAGTAATATTTTATGTACCTGTCGTTTGCTGATATGCGTAGACGCTGGTCCTGACGATCTTGGTATCCGGTAATGGCTTCCTACCGATCGTTTCTCTATGAAGTTCTTCTCACAAACCGGTACAAGTGTATATGCGAAGATCTCCTTGTGTGAGCATGCCTGTGAGTTACTACATGAAATGTGCGTAGGTGTGGTTTCATCGCACTTACATAGAAACATATTACCGTCAGCCCCTTCTAACCTGTGAATTTGGTCGTTGGAAAACAGGTTTATCAATTTATCGTTTACCCTGAAAATTATATAAATGGTATCACGTTTCAATTATTCTACCATGATATACTGAGCGCCATGGAAAACGCATCACTTTTTTCCCAAAATATTTTATTACTAGGTGGTTTTGTATGTATAATATTATGCAATACTATGAACTATTGTTTCACACAATACTCCCAAACGCAAAACATATCGGCCCGTGTGCACAAAAAAAAAACAATTGCACGAGATGCACATGAAAAACCCAATATTCACGTGCAGCATTGTGTGTGAGCCCTTTAAAAGCATGTTTTCGACTTAATGTGCAGTACATGAACTGTGAAACGTCAATCTGTCGTAATTTGTTGTTGGACGTGTGAAGGAATCGAGTTAGAGATGCCGAGACTTACTGAAAATCAACGGAATGAAGCCATGGGAATGTCCAGGGCTGGCATGTCTACACGTGCTATTGCCAGACATTTCAATTGTCATCAGTCCACTATTGTAAGGTTGGTGGAACGTGTTCGAGTTACTGGATCAAAACGTGACCGTCAACGTCCTGGTCCACAAAACGTTACAACCAGGCTCAAGACCGCTACATCCGGGTCACTCATCTGCTTCACAGATTCCGCCCAGCGACTCGAACAGGTGCAGCAGTCGTCGGAAGACAAGGGCCAGTAAGTGCCAACACCGTAAGACATCGTCTAAGAGAAGTAGGACTCCGTGCACGACGACCTTCTGTTGGAGCTATCACCGTCAGCGGCGTTTGATATTGGCTCAAGGATACCAGACATGGAGAAGAGTAGACTGGCAAAGTGTGCTCTTCAGTGATGAGAGTCGCTTTCATCTTTATCACGCTGATGGCCGTCAACGTGTGTGGAGACGTCTTGCAGACTGCTGCGTCTTCGAAACGAATCGATGGGGTGGGGGAAGTGTAATGGTGTGGAGAGGCTTCACGTTTCATCACCGGACCGCCCTACACATTTGCAAGGGTCGCGTTAATGCTGTAGCCTACCGTGATGATGTCTTGCAAGCAATTGTTGTTCCGATGTTTCGAGCGCACCCACAACTTCAGCACTTCCAACAGGATAATGCACGTCCGCATACCACCCGTTTTAGTATGGTTTGAAGTTTAAAAACTATTTTCAGCACTGGACGTCGTCCATTGTCACTATGTTATTTAGTATTCTTCTGGTTACTTTTGCATATGCTGGTTTCGATCTACACGTAATCGAATTTCCAGTCTGGGGACTTAGTTTTGTCATTCACCACCATACACCACCACTATGTACAGACGCTGTTCCTTTTTAGAAATTGTTACATTGGGGTCTATCGATGATGGAACATGATATTACAGTTAATGCAATCTGCAGAAGTTATTTAACAACATTAATATTGTACATACCGCCATGAATCTGAAAACGCTGGCATTCCAGACCACTGATAAGTTGAGACTTCTTTATCACGACCAATAAAGGTACTGGTAGTAATTTGGTCACACAATCCACCGACATTACCCTTGTCAGCAACTGATGGATACATGTAAATATTCAGGAAGTTCCCAATAGTCACGACTTTAATAATGGTAGAACTTGGCAGACGAATCTGTCATTCATGGAATTAAGACAAAGCAGTTAGTACCAAATAAAATAATTTGAATAACAGTGAGTTTGTTAATGGGCAAGTTCGGAACATTGTTCAACCGGATAAGTTTAAGCTTTTCACTGAGAAGTGGTTACTTGGAAATAGACGGCAAGTGCACTGAGTGGGGAGAATGCTATTTTGTCATCCTGCACTTTAGAGTCAAGACAAATCTTTTAAACAAGCATGCATGAATCAACCATACACAAATATAAAATCGAGTTTAAAGTGTTTTTGACACCGGGGCTACTGCGGTGTCTAAATTGTACTGGCTTTGTTGTTGTTGGTGGTGTTGTTGTTCTTGTGGAAACTGACTTTGAATTTAACGGAACTGGATAAAACTGGCAGGCGTATATCGTGGGTCAGTACGGAGACAGTAACTGACCCCTTTTTTTGATTTTTGTCCCAGGTAAGAAATTATCATGTCATAACTTTTCATGTGAATGCTCCGGTGTAAAGTTCACTCGAACTTTTTTCCTCACCACCCACTGCAAATCTAAGATAGACAACAATCCTTGAGAAACTAGTTTAAACGGCTAAAAGACTGCAGACCAATAAACTATAGACAAATCTAGTATAATAGGTATTATTTATAATGTAATTCAGAATAAGTCTGGAAATGTGTACGCTAATTGATTTTTTGGAGTCCAAGTGGATACACAATTGACGTAATGCTATAAAAGACATAAAACTCTAAATCAACGTCCTTTGTACTCTAGTACCTGGCACTTTAAATCGCATTAATGAAATAATGAAGATGGCTTACGCCATACAGTATGATATGAGGGATATATTGCTCGGACAGTGGGCTACGATGTACTCTTATATCGAATTCCAACTGCCAGTGCACGTCAATGCCATCTGGGTATATTTAATTAGATGTAGTGGACAGTGTTGTATTTATTTAGTTTCTGTCGATTTCTGGCTTGTTATGATTTCATGCTGTTTTGATATTAAACTTGTTTACTTATTACAATTGTCAAATTTGTCTTGCATCTATTGGCAGAACATTTCAAGCACCCAAAAGTGCCTGCACGATAGATTTTACCAGGCTTCAGAAGCCATAAAAAGTGGCACTGCGTGACAGATTTCTCTAATTAAGCTGAAATCGATATGAGTTTGACACCGAAAATGGATATTTCCCACCGGAAGACAAAGAAAACAATTTCCCTAGATTGGGTCGGGTGACAAAACAGCCCGAATCAACTTCAGTTCATTAAAGTCCAGCCATTATTGCAGATGAGACAGTCATGACCTCGGTCAGAGGGGTCCCGATTTCAAAAAGTACCTTCCCATAGGGGTCATGGAGTCGGAAAATTTAAACCCCGACATGTTTGGATATTTTGATCCTACATCAACCCTAGACAACAACAAAAAATATCAATTTTAGCATACACATCCTACGGGATGACATGTCATACCACACTAATAATTTACCTTATGTTGATTGTTGCCGCTTTTTTTAACATTAATAAGCGATGGTCCATCACACTGGGCGTATCCAGATTTAAAAAATGAATCTGAACAAATTTCCTTTTTGTAAACTTCACGTCCAACACGAATAGCTATACCACAGACACAGGTAACGCGGGCATGTCGCCGGCAAGGCTTGGTCTGTATTTGTACCTGTAATAAGAAAATGAAATGAAATGGGGTTTAACGTCCTACTGTTATGAGGGATATTTTGCCCGGACAGCGGCACTATGGCCTACTCTTATATCGAACTCCAACTGCAAATGGATCTTTTACGTGCACGCCAATGTGTACACGGGACCTCGGCTTTTCGCCCCATCCGAATTCCTAGACAGCGGTCCTTGTCAGGCCCTCCGTCCTGTATCACTGACAAGGGGAAACCACGCCGGAAAATCTGGATGAACTTTATCGGCCAATGCAGGGATCGAACACCTGACCTCCAGGCTAGCGAGCCAGCGTCTTACCCACTTAGCCACCGTGACACACTACCTGTAATAAGACACTCTTAAGAGGCCACAGTTTTATTTTGAGGACACCATAAATATGTGTTTACACCCCAAAGATCTTGGTTTCTTTCGTTATTTACGCATGTCGGACCGTAACATCTTGGATTATGGCTCACAATCCACTGAAGATCGCAGGTTGGGATGCCATCTAGAGTTGAGTATGGTCTAGATAAGTTAATGAATGTCTAATTAATAATTTAGATAACATTTCAGGGCCGAAGAAAGACCTGCAATAGACAGATTTAGCTCTTGCATAATGTATGTTTAAGAACGGAAGTTACGCTAGAGACCTACTGCAGTTAAGATATTATTAAACTTTGGTGAGCATCACTCATTTTGTACAGGAAATGACACCACCGACCACCACCAGGATTCCAGCGCAAACCAAACCAAGGCCTACCAAAGCAGCGCCAACCAAACCGAGGCCTACCAAAGCAGCGCCAACCAAACCAACGCCTACCAAATCAGCGTCAATCACCCTCGGATAATTGAGGTGTCATCAAGGCCTTCTTCCCGGTCCTCCAGTGTCTCCACCATTTGACGATTATGGAGGATCCAGGATCTGAACAAGTTCGTCAAGCCGGCCATGAAAACACCGACCATAGCCACTACCAAACAAGAGAACATTATCACTTGGAGAAGGCACATATACATTATCACTCGTTCGAGATGTGCAGGTAGGTAACCAGTCCGCCCCAGGGTTTGCCTAGCCTAGCTTCGTCCACGGGTTCCATATTACCACAGCGCTCTCATTGACTGTCTGTCCCCTATATCGCACACCAGTCCTATCCTTGACACCACAACAAAGCCTTCTACCAGCTGCAGACGATCACTCAAGACATTCCACGAAGAGACCACACAGCTACAAAGGTAAAGATGAGAAGAGGTTCATGGTACCTACCACCTGTGATGGCCAAGACTTTGGTTATTGGGTCCTCTAATTTGGCAAGGATAGTATCCTTTGTCGGTGTTAGGGAGATCCATAGCTATTCTGGAGCCAAGATCTGCCACATCAAACAGATCCTACAGAAATACATGGGACCTGCATCGGAAGAAATGGTTATACACGTCGGATTCAACAACAGGAAGGAAGCTGAACCAAAGATAACTAGAGAAAAACTCTGGATTGACAAATTGAAAACAATAGCCCGGTTTCCATATTCATACGGCTAGCGCAATAGCCCCTTTTTTAGTCCCAAAATCACCCGAAAATTATGGAAGACCAACCAGCTCTTTATTCAGTGTTTTTAATTCTTAGTGCTTAATTCATAGTCCTTAATTCTTATTTCTTGATCTGTTGTCGTATTTAGACATTGGTTCACTAAAATTAACATTTGTATCTTAAAATCAATATTTGTTTTACAAATCGGACATTTGTCATACCATGTGTGTATTTCAGTATAAAGATAAAATTTATTTAGAAAATCAAAACTTAGCCTACATTTACATTTCATCAGAGAAAAACAACGAAAAACAAATCTGGAACAACAAATGTCTAAATACAAATCTCCAAATACAAGTCTTCCAAAAGGTTTCTACAAAAACATTTCTTCAATAACATCTCTATAAAAACATTTCTCGAAATCCATCGAACCATGACGACATGAGCGGAAATCAACCTGGCATGAGAATATGGAATGGGAAGCCAATCGGATGATTTACGGCCACTCCGCTTGGGTATTCCGTTGCAAAATATTGACTGGATGACAAGTGTTGGCAGTTATCGTCATACTGTGTTAGTCAACCTTGACAGTGTTCTTCAATTGAAACCTATTACGCTTAATGATTTAAAACAAATAGACGAGTGATCAACTTAATCCTTCTTTAGTGAATCGATCTCTACAGAATTCTGACATTGGAGACATGCATAGCGTCCGTGTGTCCGTTTTGGGAGGAAAGTGAGTTGACTAATTACGATGTCGATTAGTGAATTGTGATTTGACAATCCTTGATGGTAGAACTCGCTTTAACATGAATGCATTCACAGTTAAAATTGTTACCGGAGACTTACAAATGATTGCTTGGTCAAAGTACACGTATGTCCATTACTGGCCATATTTACAGAGTATTATACATTTCACGTGTAGATAAAAATATTCAGGTGAATCTCTTAATGGGTCTAAATATACCTGACGTACATCGCGTACTGACTGCAATTAGTAGCTACGCGGGCAAACATAGTGTACGATTAACACGTTTTGGGATGGACTGTCATTTGGACCGTTTGTGAAGTCTGTGTCACTACAGACCCGGGACTGTACAGCGCAGTGGACGCTTACGGCTAGCCCCCGGATCCATTCACTTTTTTTGAATTGTCTGTATGTTTGTTTTTTCCTGAGTATGATGTCCTGTCCGTGTATTTGTTTTTGTGTAAATTTTGTGTGGTGCAGTCACCCTGCACATACTATATTAGTAAGACAGTTCACATCTTTGGATACTAAAGTACGCGTTGTTGTTCTGTTGACAGAACGATTTTTTGTTTAAAACACTTTATTTGTTTACTTTAAGTTCTAGCAGACGATGGATTTATTCGCTGTTGTCACTAGTATAGATGAGACCAACTTGATTACGCGTACTAGTGGCTGCTGTAACAACCGTTGGCTAACTTTACCAGAAGGAAGAAAATTGTTACGTAAAGACGCAATTTAATTCGAAGATTTATTTATCCTATTAATAATGGCTAATTTTGTAGTAAGAGGCACGAGTAAGTTGATTTACATTTAAATACCCTGTTTAGCTTATTAAGTGTGTAATATATGTGCCAAATTAGTTCAGTTTATGTATAAGACCCGTTTTTAAAGTTTTTCCTGCTTGACGTTAGCAGACAGTTAATGCAGCCACACATAATTTGTGTACAAGCGCTATAACTTATATATCGACGTTTAATTACTTAAGCTTTATTTACTTTATTTAGTTTAATTTGAACGAGATTATTACTCAAAAGGATATATATATATATAATATATTACAGATTTCGAATGGTTAATTTAGTTATATTGGTTTAGTTTATGAATGAAAATAAATAGTTGCAGTTTCCCAATCAACAATTATCATCTTTCTATATGTGTTACCCAAACCAAAAGGCCAAACACACCACACGAAAACCTCTCCTCCACCATTCTTCTACCACAAACAATTGCATTAGCCGCCCAGTTGTGAATGTTAGAATAACGGATTCCGTTATAAAGAGACCGATTGAAAGCGTAATATTAAAGTGAGAATTGCATTTTACAAAGTCATATGTTTTAAAAAAAAGCTTTAAAATACATGGCATTGATATATACGTATACAGCCCTTCTTTGTTAAATAATAATACCAAACCCTATAATTCATTTGTGTCAGCTGAGAAATTAGATCATTATCCTTATCTGTTTAACCAGGGACCTTGACAATAAAGACAGTCACCCCCTTTCTATTGTGTAGACTTAGTTATCCAGTGCAAAGAAATGATACAATTTCCGAATACCGTCGGCGAGTAGAAATTATTTCCATATTTTATGTGAATGTTTTTTAGAGATAGGTTCCCACGTACAAAACTGGGTAATTTGATGGTTTATTTGGACCAAAACCATATTCAAACTAATAAATCTATCAAAATTTTGCTTCAAATCCTTCTCAAAACACTCTTTTCGCGAGGGAATGCCCTTACTATAAAAAATGTATTAAAAAAAGTATTGTTTGTGTCACGCGACTGAGATCACGCACTACCTAGCAACGGGTGCGAAGCCAGGGAGAATTCATTTCATACATAAGACGATGTTGTCTTTAATATCGAAGCCTAATTAAATTCTCGGATTATCCACTACCTACGTCTTTTTCCGTGTTTTTTGTCTCAGAAATTGCTGTACGTTTAACTCTTCAGCAAGTTTATCAACATATACATCAAGCGCTCAATCTTCGCGTGCTACCTTTGACGTGGCGCGAACAGACATCCCTAATCGTCGGGCTGCCGATTAGTTAAACCCTTACATTTTTGTCCTGAATGCGTTCCATGTTTTTTTAAAGGGAATCCAGTATTTTTCTAGTAAGATTGGATATTTTGTACTCTCCATATATACCAAAATTGCCATACTTTTATTGGAAATAACCACCCGATAAATACTTTTCTGGGAAAGTATAGTTAAGTGTTGGAATGATTCCTATGATTGTATAATAGTGATTTGACACACCCATTAAGCAACAGATATAGAAATAATCATGATTTGACTTTCTTATTTCTTAGAAAATATGCAATTGTCGCTTTCAAGGCACGTACAATATTCAATCGTGTCGACTTTTGTGTCGTCTACTGACTATCGTCTATCATCTTATCATCGATGACTATAGTATCGTAATCGACTATCGTATCGTAATCGACTATCGTATCACCTGTCTTGATTGAGTGCAATAATATCTTGTATATCATTGCCAGCCAGTACGTCAGTGTTTTGCTTAATTGGGAATATATGAAAGTGTCAACATTTTTAAACGAGACAAATTTTTATAATAAATTTTTAAACTATCTATATAATCGTGTTTTCATTTTAAAATTTTAAATATTTATATACATACAGCTATGTGATATTTGGTTTTACTTGATTATCTAGTGCATATTTGGTTTTAATTTTATAAATATTTGTTTGTGATAGTTGCATAATTTGTCGGAAAATAATCACCATATGTTTGGAGCAATATAACACGGTTGGAGATGACCTACTATAAAACTACATTTTATTTATTCGTATCTTCTATCGAATCTTTGTATACTAAGATAAGAATTTTGAAGTGTCTTTCCTATCTATTTTTGGAATGGAATCATTAATAACATATCGTGATAGCATCGTTAAGTAAAAATGAAATGAAATGAAATGGGGTTTAACGTCCTACTGTTCTGCTTCTAACCTGGGCTAATGAAGATGGGCATACGCCATACAGTATGCTATGTGGGAAATTTTGCCCGGTAGCGGCGCTACGGCTTACTCTTACATCAAATTCCTACTGTCAAGGGATCTTTTACGTGCACGCCAATGTGTACATGGGACCTCGGTTTTTCGTCCCATCCCAACGACTAGACAGCTGTCCTTGTTAGGCCCTCCATCCTGCATCACTGACAAGATGGAACCACGCGGGAAAATCTGGATGAACTTTCTAGGCCAATGCAGGGATCGAACACCCGACCTCCAGGCTAGCGTCTTGCCCACTCACCCACTTGGGAATTCCCATTGTACGTCGTAACAGTGTCTATCGTACATCGAGTGTTTCGGGTGTTCCTTTGCAATGAGTGGAAATAACTTGACAATTATTTCAGAATGTTGGTGATGGATCAATCGTTTAGAGGTATACATCGTATTTTGATACGAACTTGTTAGCGACTGTGGGCGAGACTCGAATGCGGTGTATTCGGACTGGTTGTTATTGTGTGCAGAAAAGAGTTTGTCCACCGAAGTCGCCGTTGTTTCTCCCTTCCAGTCTATCGAATGTTATTACAGGTCATGATGGTGAGCTAATAAATTTTTTTATATGCCAAGTTTTAGCATCGTCACCACCTTTATTCAAAAATTAAAAACCAGTAGGGATTTTCGTTCTATTTGATGTCCAATCCAGTTGTGTCAGATGTTAGTAGTTATCATCTGTAAGAATTTTAAATTGATTACCTCTTGTTTCCATGCTTCATTTTCGTACAAGGTGAATACTCCTTCATAGTGATGTTCATACCGTCTTTAAAATAGAAAGACATATCAAAATATTTGGAGAAATTGCTAAAAAAGTGGACGGTGTTGTGGTTAAGATTAAGATCTCGTACTAAATTACATCCAAGACGTTTACTTACTAGTATGTCCATTTTGCCATTGTTTCTAAGAATTTATTAGAAACAGTATTTATACGATAACTTACTGCTCAAAATATTGTTACTTTACAAATTCGGTGAGGGCCGCGGTGACCCAGTGAGCAAGACGTTGCCTCGCTACTCTGGTGGTCCCGCGTTCGATCCCGGTGTTGACCCAGAAAGTGTGATTCCCCTTTGCCAGGAGTGCAGGCTGGAGGGCCTCGTGAAGGACAACTTAGTGTCGTTCGGGTGGGATAAAACAGGACTTCCGTATATAAATCCCCGTGCATGTTAAAAGAACCCTTGGCAGTTGGAATTCGAAATAAGAATAAGCAGTAGTTCCACCGTCCTGTAAAATTTGCACTAAAGCACTGTATGACGTATGACCGTCTTCATTAACCCATTTGGTACAGAACAGTAGGACGTTAAACCCCATTTCATTTCACAAAACTGGTTGATCCCACAACAGCAAATGCTGATGAATACCGGAACCACGATCTCGACTTTTTTGATTGCCTAAAACCATAATGATACTCAAATAACCACACATCTTGTATCTTTATCTGGACACATATGTCGACGGGATTACCGGACAATAAATATGAATTGGCCAAAAGATTGACATGTGGCGATTAAGAGCAATTTACCTTCGTTTTCCTAAAGAAGATGTCAATATCTAAGTTATGTCAAGCAGACCCAAAGTCGTATAGAAAATAAATGGCCTTGAGTGTGGCACTAGACTACTTACGCTCCGTAGAACGTCTTCATGTGTGGATCACATACAGCAGAACACTCCTTGTTCTTAATGGGAGTTGCATCCTGAGAAACCACAACCTATAATAGAATGGACATATGCTCACAGTTGCAATTATTGTTACAAATTGTTACAAGTTATGCTAACTTCCTTAGGAAGTGCAGAAAACCAGGACAAAACGACCACCCAAATGATACAGTACCGATGTATTATAATATACACGGGGGGGGGGGGGTAAAGAATGGCACTTTAAATATATATATACATTGTAAGCTAAAAAATAAGCCTTCCTTTAAATCTATAGCATTTTCTCTTGAGTAGAGATTTGCATTAATTTGAATGTACTTACCTTAACACTTCCTATGGAGTAGTTACCCCAAAATTGGTGCAAATCGAAAAATTCCACCGTTTTCAAATTCAAATACTTTATAGCGTACAGATTTGCATAGGAACTTGGAAAGTTACCCCGGACTTTAATACTATAATTCGCATTCCAGTTCGCTCCAGCTCTGACTCTTAAGCCACATGCCGTATAGGTGGGTGATAAAGCACAATCGTCGTCCTTTTTAACCTTGAGCAAATTTACTTGTAATTCACAGAACGGATGAAAGCTCGCACATCCAATGGGCGCTGTCGGTCTCACAATGATAGCTGCCTCCTCGTCGTCTCTAACATACACTGTAGGTGTTAAGATCTAAAGAAAATTTCAAAAGGGATTTGGTTTTAATTCAACCAAACAAAATACAAGCCAACAAAATTCACAGCTAACGAAGAACTTTAGTAGCCACGACAATTGTTTAATGTCCCAATAATTTATTTAAATTGTTTCCCCAAAAACTTCTTTTGGCATCACCCAAACTATTGTTCCAATTAGCTATGTGGTTTTAGTGTACGAACTATTCATACTGTTTGTAGAACACACGATCTAGTTAAATATAGAACGTACCTCAATTCCGATGAATCTGTCGTTACTAGACGTAACTGAGCTAGTTGCTGAATCGGCCGTGTGACTAACTGCATATCCACATCTGATCTAATTTGGCACGTTGAGAAGATGAAAACATGGTTAATCTTAGATTTTCATATATGTCAGTTATATCGCTTTTAAATGTGTGGTTTGAATTGAAAATACAGCCCAGTTGTACGAATAAAAAAAAACAAGCGGTTACCATGCAAGAACGCCTACATTTTGCAAATAACACGCGATTTTCTTACAATTAGGGGCCATAATCTAGGATGTTACAGTTCGACATGCGTCAAAATCAAACTCAGATAACAATGTGAACTCTGAAGGGTCCACAGGTTAAAAACGCGATTTTTCATACAACAAGGGCCCACAATCCATGACTTTACAGTCTGATATGCGCAAAAATTTAATAGTAACCGGGATCGTTGGGATATAAACAACTATGTAAGTTTCATCAGAATCTGATAACAATAATGACCTCTAGAGAGTCTACAACCTTGGAATTACATACTTTTATACAATTTGCTTACAGGGAGTAGCCATTTTGTTTCTATCCGATTTTCACGAAATGAAATTCAAACTCAACTATCATTACGGTGATACTTATAAACAGTATTTAAAATCTGATAAACATTGATCCTCAAGAAGGTCGACAAGCTAAAAGCGTGTGTTGGTACAATCAGTGTTTTGAGATAAGAAATGTTGCCATTAACTTCAACGTAGCACATGCGGGAGCGATTCGCACTCGGCATTTGTAAACAAAATTGACAATATTTTTAATCAAAAAAAAAAACCGATTGATTACTGTTATTTATAATATTTCTGCCACACCCAACTACAATTAAGCATATCCAACGGGTACAAATCCACTCTTTTTAAATCAAAGCCACAGTAGATTGCTTTATCCGACATTTTAAATGTACGTCTGTAACACATAACGGCAGGGCCTCGTGTGCAATAGCCAATCAAAGTACTAATCTGATCTGAGTTGCGCAGTAGTAATACGCCGTAATTATGAACGTCCGAATCAATTTTGATAAAAACAACGCTTGATTTACTTTATTGTCAATATTTGCTGATAAATGAACGTTGTTTCAGTAGATTGTGCTGCGTATGTGTAATAAGTACTAATAGTATAAAATTTACTTATTTTTAAGATGGTACATGCATTAATAAAGAAATCGAGTTTGCCACTTGGAACTAAAGGCATCCAATCGTAGCTAAAAACAAGCACATCAGTATATCTCAGCGTTTTTAGTTACGTTCGCGTAACTAGTACAATCAGGTGCCATAATCCAGGAAGTTATGATCCAATATGCGACAATATCAACACGAACCGAGATCGTTGTGATATAAACACCAATTTAAGTTTCATCAAAATCGGATAACAATTGTGACCTCTAGAGCGTCCACAACCTGGGTATTAAATACTTTTACAATATTTGCGTTACACTATTTGCGTACGAAGAGCGGCTTTTTTGTAGAGCGGTTTCGTTCCGATTTTCACGAAATCCAAACTCAGTCACCATGGTATACAATGAACCATTTTTAATTCATCAAAATCTGATAAAAATTGTGACCTCTAGAGTGTTCACAACCTAAAACGTGATTTTTCTGACATTCAGGGGCCATCGTCCATGTAGTTACGGCCCCATACATGCCAATATCGACGGGGATCGGGATCTATGGGATATCAACCTATATTGCATGTTTCGTCCAAATCTGATAAAAAATGTGACCTGTAGAGTGTCCACAACCAAAATGTGAACGAACTGACGGACGTCTGTACGGACAGGGGCGACGACTATGTACGTTCACTTGAAAATGAGGGCATTCAATGTGAACTCTATTAATGTAACGTGCCATAGACAATTGAACAGCAGGGAAAATATACTGCCAGGAAACGAAACATACGCTTACAATAGCTACGCTTTTCTGCCATCCATAAAGGTTGTCGCATTTTCATTATTTTGTACGCAATGGGAGGATTTTAAAGACGCTCAAATTGGCCAAGGGCAAAAACCACCAACGTATAATTTCCAGTTCGTCCTAGAGCTATGGAAACAGCTGAAACGTAATGAAGTCATAATGTATAATTGCTTTCAGTAATAAGCTGCTTGAAGCAATGGAAACTGTTGAAATTTATTAAACTCTTTTCCCCCTTGAATCTAAACTTTAACGCATAAACTTTAACCTCTAGGGAGTCAAATTTTTTAAAAGGTCAAAGGCAATAACTCTGTCGGCATGTATCGGAAATCGGCGACATAAAACTGAGTATCCAACGACCATAACTCTAGCGTAAAGTTTCATAAATCGCTGAAAGTCAAGAGGCTTCTGAATCGCACGGCCCATAACAATTTTTAGTCTCTTAAGGGTTGACAAGCAATTGTGGACGACAGGCAACCGGTCATACCTACGAATTGACGGATTGTCGGGGGTGACGACACAATCATTAAAATGCTATAATGTGTCACGCTATATAAAGAAGTCATAATGGAAATTAGCTATGGACTATAAAGTTGAAGTGATTATATATAGTCATAATTCTAGAATCGTTATAATCTGGTGGGACACAGGGTATTTTTATAAAAGAGGTAATCTGGGGGTGGGGATAGTAGACAATCTAAATAGAACACTGGGAGAATATTAAACCCCTAATGTTTCGAATATTTCACATAGGTAATAGTTACCTGAAATCCAACAGTCTGTATACCAGCAGCTTTGATTTCATTTTCTGTTAGTAATGTCTTTGCTTGAACATCGGCTGATTTTTGGAAAGCAAAAACTGTTTTGATTAGTTTATTATTTACATACCACGTGACAGTATACCATGTGCTATTATGTGCAGGTAGTGTGGACGTCTGGAAGTTGCATACAAACTCATACCTATTCTCGTCATCTTCTTTCAGTGGCAGTATTCCCGCATTCACACTAGTTACATATTCTGGATGATCATCTACAAGTAACAGGGCATACAATTGGTTCTAACTTTTGTTTAGGGGGGTGGCGGTAATTGAACATGTAATGTGCATCAAGCCTGATTAATTGCCTGCCAACGAGATTTGATGTTGGTTACTGACGACTTTAAATAAATCATCAATGCTTCTCATCTAATGAATTTCTCTTTTAATTTGTACGTAATATAATGATAATATAATTACCTGACAGGTCATCTGAAATTCGAAAAACCAATATTATATTTAGCACGTCTTTACAAGGTTAAATTCTTTTGATTGAAATGAATATATTATGCCCATAATCATTTCTTTAGGCTATTGGGTTGCTTAGATATTTAAGGGATAAGAACATCTTCGCCAATGAATAATCGGGACGTTGGTTATTATCGCAGCAATTGTACTTGACAATCGAGATTATCCTGTGAAAACATTAAACTCTCTTAATTTCACTCAGAATAGTGTTATTTGACTGAATTTTCCAATGCATTCATTTGTCATGATCGTGTTTTGAACAAGCATAGCAAGAACTACCAGCTCTAAATCTTACATACTACAGCTTAAAATAGAGAGAGACATCAACAATTCCATTTCGATATTTCACCAATTCACCGAATCTTAACATATCTCATATTGGCATTTCCTTTAGTCTGCGAAAAAATACAAGGAACCCATTCAAAGACTTGAAAATTGTTGTACCCTAATAAATTAAATTCTTTTTCTCAGCCTAATAAACCAGGAAAATATATTACTAAGCGACATTTGGCGTCTATTTTAACATTTATGATCATACTTACCATAAACATACATCATTCATCAGCGGTATGGTTTACGTTTTGCCACTGAGAGATAACGTCCTTGGTCACAGCAAAGTGTCAAGCTTTGTTTTACTTGCCTCCAAATGTGAAATGATTCAAATTAACTTATCTATGCATACGCAACGCCAAGTCTTAGCGAGCTCTATAAACCTCGTGACTGGATAAACCTTATCCATATTCAACTTTCGCCCTAGAGTTACCCCCCCTTTCTGAAATTCTGCCCCTATACATGTCATAGGGGGTGCTCCATTGTCAGTCCGCGACGTCCTGAATTGATAGAATTTCAATCAGGTGATACGGAATTCAGCTCTGTCACAGTTCTGCCAGTCCCGTCAGCTGGGATTGTGTGAGTAGAATCGTGACCTATTTTAAGTAACAAATATGGTTCCGCTGTCGTGATTGGTTGAGATATGTTTTATGCAGTCGGCACTTTTATGTGTTGTACTCAGAAATTCTCCCGTTCACTGGATTGACACTATTTTTGGAATTGAGAAAATTTAATTCCGGAACGTTCAATCGAGTATCCCCAATCGGGTGGTTTTTCCAAATTTGGAGTTATCCCCCTTTTCCAAAAAAACAACTTGAATGCGATAGAGGCTATCGATTTTATTGATTTTTTCAATAACTATATCGATAAGCAGCGCTCTATAACCCCCCTTCCCAAAATTATCCCTCCCTATCGTCTTTACCGAAAAGCTTGTGGACGGATAAAGGCTAAAGTTATTCCCTAAGTTTATGAACACGAGAAAGATCAAATTTCTATAAGGTTTCTTATCAAATTTGTTCAACACCAAAGTCTGATAAGTTGCTGTAGACATAGCTACTGTATGGACATACTTCAAAACGCTTTGCGTGGTTATCTTGTAATACTGTATGTGGATTCAAAGAAATAATCAGCTATACTTATAGGACGACAAATAAGTGGCGTATTTATCCTTATAAGACGTGTTTTAAAAAATATATCAACATTCTCTGCCATTTTAGTTGTTTAGTTACAAAATATCATTAAATAATCTGACCACCCTGTCTCCGCTTTGCCGCCGTATTTAGAGGGCAGTTGGATAGCTGCCGAGTTGGTCCTTCGTCTCTTGCACAGCCGTTGAGATCAATTGGTGCTTTTGTCGAGAATAAGAGTACATTTCAACATTGTAATTTTTGTCCGGGGAGATTTTGTCAGATTTCTCAATTCAAAGGCTTAGTTGTCCAAACAAACACTTACTTGTTAACCATCGGTGGTCGCCATAGTAACTAATGCAGTCAAGTTAATGAATGAATAAAGTCGATGAGTTTTATCCAAATTTTATCAAGCTCGGAACAGTATTCTTAAAAGTTCAAAGCGTAAATAATTTTTTTAAGGGATTTATATAGATGAATAAGTTAATAAATATTGTCACACGAATGTCCATTTTGGCGATTGTTTTCTGCGTTCAATAAATGCACATCTTACGTAATTGAAATGTAATATTCCGGCACGTTCGTTCATTTCTTCATCAACACATATATTTGAGGCTGTGGCCCACCCTATGTCTAGTGTGTTAATGGTCCCTATGATTATTTGGAATAATCAATGCCTGATAATATAAAACCTATTAAGTATGAAATGAAAGATATGACTCTAAATTGGCTTACAAAAAAAGAAGATACGTACCAACACAATAAGACGCATATCCAGAAAATGTTCGTCTTAGATTATATGCCAGAAACTTATCACAACGTTTGGTTTCTATCTGGATGGTTCGAGCACAAGGGCCACTTCGAGTATGCACACAAAATGTTCTATTTTTTACGGGACCAGCTACCGGATCAGCACCTGTTGTAAAATGTACAATCATTTGTATCGGTCCCTACGTCCAGTAATATACAGACATACGTGTATTTCATGACATCTATGTGAATCACTCGCAATAATTTTTTTTTTATGTTTTTGACTGGGTGCTGACATTCTGTCGGACATACAGGGATTGAGACTGGACCTCATTGAAAGGCTGACGTGACCGGCTCTTCACTACTTAGTTTCCGAACCACACAGCTGATGAATGGGTGATGAGCCAGCAACTTCTAATGCCATTTATATCGAATGCTTATCAATTATCTGCCATCTTTGCGCTTCTGACAACCTCCGTCTCGTCAATGTCATAGACAACGATCTGATTTTGCAGAAAGCGTGTACTGTGATAAGACGAGGATCAGTAATTCTTTCCCTCAAAATCTGAATAATATTTTTAAAGATTTATTCTCCTTTCTTTTGAAACGTGTCCATGCTGCTTGTAATTCGTTTTATACCGCAATACAGGCTATGAGGTTTTTTTTGGAACCAATGGGGTCATAAGATGTTGGGCCACGGTGGCTAAGTGAGCGAGGCGCTGGCTCGCTAGCCTGGAGGTCGCGGGGTCTCTCCTGGTGTTGGTCGAGAAAGTTCATCGGGATTTTCCAGCGTGGTTTCCCCTTGTCAGTGGTGCAGGAAGGAGGGCCTGACAAGTTCAGACTGATCGAAGTCCCATGTACACATTGGTGTGCACGTAATAAAAGATCCCTTGACAGTAGGAATTCGATATAACAGACAGTAGAGCCGCATGGTCCTGAAACAATGGCCCGAGAAATCCCTCTCTGGCCATTGGTGGATTGGCTTCTGATATTCGAGCTTTTGTGTCTATTCTTCCCGTTCAATCAAATATCAGAAGCCAATCCAGCAATGGCCAGAGGGGTATTTCTCGGGCCATTGCTTCAGGAATATGGATAGGTCTAATCAAACGAAACACTGCGAAGAGTATGTAGAGCCGTTGTCCGGGCAAAATTTCCCTCATAGCAAACTGTATGGTGTATGCCCGTCTTCATTAGCCCAGTCGGAGCAGAACAGTAGGGTGTTAAACCCCATTTCATTTCTCCTAAAATGTTTACCCCTATTTGCTCAACATCGAAGTTTTCCTTTCGAATAAGTTGCAGTTGAGACAAAGCTGCTGTGTAGATCTATTCTTACATTTTATGTAGTAAAACGCATAGAAATGATATTAGAAAAAAACAAAATCCCGTACCACACAATTTGATAAAGTCCACTCAAGCGTCTTGGTTATAAACTAAACATTTTTTACAAAAAAAAGTGGACTGAAAGAATCCGATTCTAATTGCACCCATGCCACTTGGTACACACATTCAGAAACGTCGCCGGTTTTCTTCTACTTTACGATCAAGTAACAGTATATTTGTTTTATCAATATGCATGTATACCAACAAATTTGTTTTAAAACATTACTCCGCATACCTCCGTGCCCTTATCGAATAAGTAATGGTTATAATTTTAAATATAAATTTTTTTTTAAACTTGGTTTGAATCACATGGGTCATGAAAGCATAGTTCATAAGAGCACAAACCCTATCAAAATTCAGCGTTCCACATCCTTCCGTTCCGGATTAAACCTTATGAACGCGATAGAGGCTGCAGTTTTTAACAGATTTGGTTCAAATTTGGTGTTATATGTGTTGCATTTGAACAATGCCAGGAGGAGTCCTGTTGATTTTCCATGTTCTTCCCGTCCATCTATTGCATGCAAAATGTGATCGTATCGTGCATGACAGTGGCATGAAACTGTGGGATGCCCTATTGAACTGTACCAGTTATAGATGTTTGGACTTGTTTTCACCCATTCCCCGCCTATATTTTTTAACTTAATAGAATCACATTAAAATCTTCTACTTAAACTTCAGTTTTTTGTCTTTCTTTGCTAGTTCAGTACTTTCTTGGGGCAGTTCATGACGATTGAATACCTTGCAGCTAAATAGCTTTTAATTGTATATCTGATCACATACTAGCAATATATTAAAAAAGGCGCGATTACGTTTTCTCTGTGTATAAATATGATAAACATTGATATTATACTGCTACATATATATAGATAGATAGGATAAAGAATGATATTAAAATACTATATTGATATCATATCCTGTAGCTAAATAAGATAAACAGTGATATTAAACTACTTTAATGGTGTCGTACCTTGTAAATAGATAGGATAAACAGTACCACAGTGATTAATACCAGGTGTTGAATTAGATATTTTAACATAACGTTGTCCGTACCATCCTTCTGTGATAAATCTATCAGATAGTGGAGTGGTTGTAAGGTTCCTTACATTTGTGGCAGATCTTCGGTTGAGATTAGTAAATGCCATTGGGTTGGTACATGGATCTGTATCAAATTTTAACAAAACAAGCCAAAAGTGCGGCTGGTGTCCCAAGCCGAAATTGCAAAATAAATAGATGACACATATTAATTAATCGCACATTTATTTTTTTCATTAAGTTTCATCATTCTCTATCAGATAGAATCAAGATTATCTTGTCCCAAACCATCGACAAATGAAATCGATTAGCTCTGCTTAGCTTCAGCTCGAAATGTTAATCATTGAACTCAGTCAAGACATTCACCTAATGAACATCTACATCAAGTTTAAACATTCACCTAATAGGTCCTGCGCCAAGTTTGAACATTCTACCTCAATTAGAAGGCGAGTTATTGTGTTCCAAAGTCTCGGCGAATCAAATTGTTTATCACTCTGCTTACCCTCAGCAAAAATGTTCATTATCGAACTTAGTCAAGGTATTGATATAATAAAGCTATACAACAGAAATGAAATGAAATGGGGTTTAACGTTCTACTGTTTTGCTCCGAATTGGGCTAATAGTGTCCTCACTCTCACTTAATTAAAACTAAAGTTATCGTGTCCCAAAGCATCAAACAGTCAAACTGCCTATCTCTGCTTATCCTAAGCAGAAAATTCTGATCTTTAAACTCCATCAAGGCATTCATCAACTAATTGACAACTACGCCAAGTGTGAACATTCTAACTCAATTAGAATGAGAGTAATTGTGTTCCAAAGTCTCGACCAATCAAATTGATTATCACTCTGCTTACCCTGAGCAGAAAATGTTCATTGTCGAACTTAGTCAAGGTATTGATGTAATGAAACTATACACCAAGTTTCATCACTCTCACTTAATTAGAACTAAAGTTATCGTGTCCCAAAGCATCAACCAATCTAATTGATTATCTCCGCTTACCCTAATCGGAAAATGCTCATCTTCGAACTCCGTCACGGCATTGGCCTAATAAACACCTACACCAAGTTTGAACATTCTAGCTCAATTAGAAAGATAGTTATTGTGTTCCAAAGTCTTGGCCAATGAAATTGCTTATCGCTCTGCGTACCCTGAGCAGAAAATGCTCATTGTCGAACTTAGTCAAGTTATTGATGTAATAAAACTTTACACCAAGTTTCATCACTCTCACTTAAATAGAACTAACATTTCCTGTCCCAAAGCTTCAACCATTCAAATTGCTTATCTCTGCTTAAACTAAGCAGAAAATGCTCATTGTCTAACTCCATCAAGGCATTGACCTAATAAACACCTACACCAAGTTTGAACATTCTAGCTCAATTAGAAAGAGAGTTATTGTGTCCCAAAAAGTGTGACGGGCGGACAGATAGACGGACGAATCCATTTTAATCGTCCCCTGCTTTCTTCGAAAGGCGGGGTACAAAAAAAACCCACCACCATAATAAAACGGATTACTGATTATCTAATACAAAAATATTCATGTCATGGATCAGAAACTATACAGCAACAGAGAAAAAGTTTAAGATTCTACGAAAAGTCGCGTTTCTCGCTTATTGATCCTATACAGGTCACAAGTTTTGTTTGATTCTATAAAACGTTTATACCTATGACAATTCACTATAATCGAGTTCGAATTTTGTCAAAATCGAACTGAAACTTACCGTCAAAATGGCCGCTCTCAATTGCGCAAATAGCGTAAAAGCATGTTATACCAAGGTTGTGGACCCTCTAGAAGTCTCAATTTTTATCGGATATTGACGGAATTTGCAATATAGGATTTATCCTAAAGATTTCGGTTCCTTTCGATATTGGCGCATGTCGGAAATAGTACGAACATTCGCCCTGTTTAGCTGTTTTCTGTCCATGTCTTGCAAAATGTGGGCGTATCTGGCATGGCAACCGCTTGTTTGTGGCGGGGGTTTAAGAGAAGAAAGATGGGTTTCCAGGCAACGAAACATACGCCCGCAGCAGCTAAATCGTCCGAGGATGAGTCGTCGAGGGTGTCGCATATTTGAATAGAATTCTTCGTTTTACTAATCTAAATAATGCATATATAAATTTCATACATATATGATAAGTTTTGTCGCTAGAGCGTTCACGGGGTGCTATACAAATTTAACCAGTGGCATAACTCTAATAGAAATTAAATAGGATTCTTCATCTCACTAATGTAAACAACTCAGTAGAGTGTTCACAAATAAATTATGGATGACAGACGGATGGATGTAACGGCAATATACGACCACATTTCAATGTGGGCGTATAAAAAGTGCTTTAGATCAAAAAGTCTATCGTTATCACACAAAGAGTAATCATAATCAGTAATCTTAATCTTAATTAGATGTAATCTGTAATCAGGCATTTTCTGATAACTGGTAATTATAATCTAAGGACTGCTTATGCATGATAAGGTTTAATGTCGCCTCTCTAATCTAGTGGTTTTGTTCCGGGCACTCTCTCCCTAACTGCTTAAAAAATGAAATAAAGATATGCCTTTTAAACATTACTCACCCGTTGTACCTCCTAACCTTATCACAGTTACCATACCTTGGCTGTAATACTATTCATTAAATCAGTAATTCCCACCCTCAACAAGCGGCTGCCATGCAAGGTACAACAATATTTTGCTAGAGGTGGACAGAGAACAGGGACAATCAATAGACCTTACCTTCTCATTTGCCCACTGTGTATTAACAAAATATACATGGTATAACCCTCATGTTGTAAGATATAGCCATCATTATGAACACAAAATGTAAATTTGTTTGTTCTGTAATACAAGTTTATTTCCTAAAAAATTGAATGTGATTAACAACCCAGGCTGTATTAAACAAGAAGTTGAATTGTGATGCCTACTACATTAGAACACATTCTGGGTGTTTTGATCTTTACCATATCTGTTACATTTAGAGGGTCCGCAGGCTATAAACATGGTTAATCGTACAATTATGAGTCATATTCAAGGAAGTTACTGCCAGATTCAATATTGTGAACGGACAAACCGACGGACAGGGTCGACGACATATTACGTCCTCGTGAAAATTTTGGCGTATTTATGGAAACTCTAATTTTATTTTTAAAATTAATAAACTGACATTTCATGATTTTTATGGTATTTCAAATCGTTTTAATTATTAATTAAATTGTAAATATAATATGTGCTTTATTTAGTTTGAATGTTGTTAATTGGCTGAACTTGAAATGGGCTGAAATATGGGCTGCTCTCTGCTAGAACCTAAAATCATGATATTTTCTGGATTATTTTAATTTATAATTACCTAAGGGTTTTCAAAAACAAAATAGTCCATAAATTACACCGTCTATATTTCTAATCACATATATACTGTCATTTGTTTAAATATAATATCAGTGAGGTATTATGTTTTTGGTAAAGTCAAAATGAGCCGTTCATCTTTTTGTTATGGTTGGTTGATCAGCCTATAAAGGTTTTGCGTAAGCACTGCCAGTTGTTTGTCTATGATATCACCTGAGCTGGAAGCGGACGTTAAGCCCCATGGACGAAGAAGAAGACGACTAGTTGTGAGACTTGATTGGAGACAATAAATTAATTGCAGACACCACAATGGATTTTTTGATTAAATCAAAGATATATTGGAAATTACGTTTATAAATTTATTAATTACGCCAAACAGGAAATTAAAAGTACTTTTATGCGACGTGCAATACATGACATAGTTTTGAATAATGATTGACCAGTAATATAAAAATTTAAAGTTATAAGTATTTAGAATTATAAATTGCCAGAAATATAACAATGAACTTTTAATTAACACAGGAAACTGCGACAATAAACGTTGCTACATATCAGAATAAACAAGCCAATAAATGTGTTGAAGAATACTTTAAATTCTGTGAATACTTCCACACCCTTTATTTGCAAAATTACGTCTCTAGCGTTGATTTACACGATTCACACAGAGAACCGTCTATGCTCTAAAATTATGAAAACTTTTATTTAATTTTTAGAAGCCGAGAGGTGCGTTTTCAGTCATTTTGTGACAAGTTTTGGAAAAGTTGGACCATTAATAGTTTATCCTATCATCTTGTAAGATGTGAGGAAAGTATATTTCACAAGATGTTATTCTGTGTTGTTTTTCGCCACAAGAGTTCCACAAGATATTAGACATAGATGGTTTTTTTTATATTTTTGGATTTTCGAATAATTTTGATAGTGTTTTTGATCTGTGGTGGTTTTACCACAATAGTTCCACCTGTCACTGGTAAGCTGATACCGTTGATTTATGAACCTGGGCAGGTTAGTAATGACAAATTTTGTCATGATATAAGTACATTTCTAAACTAATGTGTATTATGTTTAGAAAGTGGTTAGAAATTATACAGTTATCATTATTTAGCAAGTGTGTAATTAGCTGTAAAAGATGTCACTACTGGTGTAAAAGCGTGACTATTTATAACACCCATCACTAATGAATACACAAACCTGGACCATAGTGGTGTATATCATTCAATAGTGACGGTTTAGTTTTAACACCTTCGTGACATAACACCTAGTTAATCATTTATGCCTAATTACTAACAATTTTAATGAACTAATAAAAAGTATGTGTATAAAATGACGTATTTGTTCTGCTAGTCTCGTATATATTCATTTATAAAAGTTATTTGACTTTACAGTGTAATATTTGACTTGTTGAGAAAATGCTTCTCAACAGCATATTTGACAAAATTCAATTAATGAGTTGTCTTCTACGTCCGTAAAATAATTCTAATACTCAGCTACTACTGTAACAAAAAGTAGGATGTTAAACACCATTTCAATTACAATGGACTAGAGTTTCTTACACTATACAGACTAAACTACAAAAAAAACGCTCCAACATCCTACATCAAATAACAGCTTATTATGTAATGAAGAGTGTCTATGTATTTATTAGGATAAATTACACCTGTGGGATTAACAAAGTCTAAAGTTACATGAAGCTATAATTTGCTTTTTTTTTCGAAAATGTTATTTGTTTCTTTATTTAATCTTTATGTATATGATATTACGATATAAAGTATAGATAAAGAGTATAAACTTTTTTTGTAGAGCAAGAGAAGGATGTAATTTATACTAATAAAATATTTACACGCTTGACTCGGGTGTTAAGTTACTGATCATCCTGTAATGTGTTGTTTTAGCATGGGCACAGGGTCCGTATTCAAACGTTTTATTGAAGTGAAAACAAGTGTATTACCATAACTCGATATTAAAAGGCTAAACTTTAAGCTTGTATGGCTAAGTCTAAAACTTAAATCAACGCTTAAGCTTAATTGTCAAGCAGAGCGCTTTAACTTTAAAAATACGTTTTGCGATCCTTTTTTTATTCTTCAAGCGTTTGGCCTTTCGATTGGAGTGCACCGAATATTATATAAGGCTACTTTACTAATTTACGATGAGCAAAACACATGAAAAAAGAAGAAACACAAATTGGTCATCTTCTGACGAGTGCTGTCTATTTGAGTTATACGAGCAGAATCATAAAATTTTATTCAGCCGGATAAAAGGCACAGAATTTTAAAAAAGACGGTCTCTGTAAGTCCATGGCGTTTGAGGTTTCGTAAATTGAAGGGCAAGTGAATATGGCGACATTCTCTTTTTTCTCAAAGTAGGCCCTATTCCACTAGGAGGTTTGGGTGGTCGAACCGTCTAGTGCGTTCGCTTTAGTTCATAAGATCTGTCATTGAGTCAAGTGGCGAAGTTTCGACCCCAAGCTTGTACATGACAAGGTGTAGGTATTCTCTGGGTTCCCCCCATCGTGGGGGTTGGATGGCTGAATGGTTAGCGTGCGCGCTGTATCATAAAGTCTGTCATTGAGTCGACTGGCGTGGTTTCGAATCCCCGGTTGTACGTGACAAGGAGTAGGGTCGCCTGTCCAACCTCGTGGGTTTTCTCCGGGTCCTCCGGTTACCTCCCACAGCTAAAGATCCCTACGCGCAAGCGAATTAATGAAATAAAATTAAACCATATATTAGTCCCGAAATGACCTAGTTTGTGTCGAGTGGACGTTAAACCCCATTTCTCTCTCTCTCACTCTCTCTCCCCCACCGTGAATTATTGAAGAAAATATAATCATTTGTTTCATGTTGCTACCGTAATAACCCAGTTTGTGGTGCGTGGGCGTTAGTGTGGATATTTGGGCAATGTCCAGGCTAAATGTTGGCCTAGAATTCCACATAATTACACAGCCTAGAGGTGGCTGCACCGTGCATAGCCACCGAACACAAAACCTTCCTTTCTACTTAATAAATGGACACTTTGGTCCATCATTCCCCACACTACACTCAATATATGTACATATTTTCTATCTAGGAACAACAGAGATGGAGAAAGCTGCAGAAAAAAAGATAGACAATATGATTTTAGCGGGTAAGTGGATTGAATTCAAAATTACAAAACAAAAATTACATATAATTATTTTAAAATATAAACATTGAAGAGCTTGGGGCATATTTCTGTTCATTTCATTTTGAATGTCATTTTGTAAAAATATTATTGTAGCAATAGAAGAAAGTATCGTAGCATAGAAGGAACAAAACAGGAGGAGGGCCTAAACCTGCAGAGTTCACAGAGTGTGGAGATGGTGGTGCGAGTTATTGGAGAAACATCTTATGTACAGGGTATTGTCCATTCCGAAGAACATAATGAACTTGTATTGTATTGGCATTAAATTCGAGTAAATCCAGAATCGCCGGATACATCATGTTTAAAAAGGGATAGGGTCGCACATCATAGTCGTTACCGAGTGTATTCGGGGGGGGGGGGGATTTTGGAGACCATTTCTAGTGATTTTCCTAGAACAAACCACTGGTGGCATTTTTATTTCACCATCGAGCTTAAGGTATACACAAACTTACCTCCCCAGTCAGCACCGGGGAGGTTGTGAAATACAATCAGTTAAACTTTGAGGTCTAGATACAAGGCCTAGGAGAATTGTGAGGACAGATCCCTTGACAGTTGGAATTCGATATAAGCATTGGTCGGGGTGCCGCTGTCCGGGCAAAATGTATGGCGCATACCAGAAAATTATCGCCCCATTTCCATAACGTGCACAATTTGTAAGATTTTTGAAAAAATTATCCTACAACACCTGTACAACTTTATTAAAAAATATGATTTATTATCTAAACATCAGTCAGGATTTAAAAAAAATGATTCAACAATAAACCAACTTCTTGAGATATATAATATAATCATAAGTAATCTAGATAAAGGGAAAGAGCTTAGTTTTGTATTCTGTGATATTTCTAAAGCGTTTGATAAAGTCTGGCACATGGGAATTATATATAAATTGCGAAAGTATGGTATTGGTCTAAATTTATGTGATTTGATATACAATTATTTAACAAATCGTAAACAATGTGTTGTCCTTGAATGTTTTCAATCACTTTATTTGTCAGTTGAATCCGGGGTTTACCAGGGATCAATATTCGTTCCTTTTCTATTCTTAATATACATAAATGATCTTTCAGACAATCTAGATAACAATGTACGATTATTTGCTGACGATACGTCCTTATTTGCA